AAACCAGTGGAGAAACTCTGAGGACACAATCACTTGGTTTGACTCACTAACTAACAAGGACAGACTGTCTTTCCTATCTTTCGATATAGTCGAATTTTACCCGTCCATAACTGAAAGTCTACTCGACCGTGCAATCGCATGGAGCCAACAATTCATCGCAATTTCCGACAGCGATATCCGCATTGTGAAGCACGCGCGCAAATCCCTTCTTTTTTACAACCAACAAGCTTGGACGAAGAAGAACAACACCACCACGTTTGACGTGACCATGGGAAGTTTCGATGGCGCTGAGGTCTGCGAACTCGTCGGACTTTTCATTCTGAACACACTCGAGAAACGCTTTGGGAAAGACGTAGGCCTATACCGTGACGACGGCTTGGCTGCCCTCAGAACAACATCAGGCAGACTTGCGGACAAGGCGAGGAAAGAGTTGATCACCATTTTTGAGAGCTTTGGCCTCAGAATCACCGCCCAGACAAACATCAAGTGCGTGAACTTCCTTGACCTGACGCTTGACCTATCAAACGGTAAATATAAACCATACCGAAAACCTAATGACGAACCACTGTACATAAACAGATTATCAAACCATCCACCTTCCATCACACGACAACTTCCACACTCAGTCAACAAACGCATTAACAAACTATCATGTGACGAAGAAGCATTCAACGCAGCAGCACCACTTTACAACAACGCTCTCAAGCAAAGCAACTTTGACGTTAACCTAACGTACACACAAACTCAAAACAACACTAATAACTCCGATAAACGAAACAGACAACGAAACATTACATGGTACAACCCCCCTTATAGCAAGAACGTTAAGACCAATGTAGCACAGACATTCCTAAACCTAATTGACAAGCATTTTCCTCCCTCAAACAAACTGCACAAACTTTTCAACCGCCACACAGTCCGTGTTAGTTACAGTTGCATGACAAACATGAAAAATCTCATCCGTAAACATAATCGTAAAATACTCAACCGAAACACAAAACGAACGCCAACTGCTAGGGTAATACAATCATCCATACCAACGGTAATACCAACACCTACAAAAAACGACACGCCAATGTGCAACTGCCAAAAACCCGCCAACTGTCCACTTGGTAAAAAATGTCTTACTGAGAGCATCGTATACAAAGCCGAAGTAACAACCAGCACTGCCAACAACCAGGAAAAGAAAATATACATTGGCATGACGGCGGGCGATTTCAAAACAAGATACCGCAATCACACTAAGTCTTTCCGACATGAGGAATACAAGAGCAACACCGAACTGTCCAAGTACGTCTGGAAACTGAAGTCAGAAAAAAGTCAGTATACAATAAAGTGGTCCATTATGAAGAAAGTCAAAGCATACAAACCAGGATCTAAACGGTGTAATTTATGCCTCGAGGAGAAACTACTTATTATGAAAGCGAAGAAAACTGAATGCCTGAACAAACGCTCTGACTTGTTTTCCAAATGTAGACATGTAACCAGATACCTGCTTAATCAAGTTGTAAAATGATAACCTATATTTATTATGAATATTGAATAATATCTGTCAGTTGCCTGATGATCGCGTAAAGCGTGAAACTCAGAGTAGCGACGCAAACATTCAAACCTTGACTGAATTAATTCCGCTCTACTTATTATGGTATTGAGCGCTCTTCTACCTTACGTCAACTCATCGACTATTTTTTTGAATATAGTCTTCAGTATATATATATATATATATATATATATATATATATATATATATATATATATATATATATATATATATATATATATATATATATATATATATATATATATATATATATATATATATATATATGTATGTATATGTATATATATATATATGTGAGTAAATCCACGATTGACACTGGTAATTACAAACCCCTTAAGAAATTAAATCTCCCTCGAACTGAAGAAATGAAATTTAATAAATCTCTTAATAAAGTTGCCAATAAGTAGAAGACTAATCATTCCAATCTATTTCATGATCTAAAAGCAACAATTTGTAGCAAACCAATGCCATGTCCTGTTTATTGTTTACTCAAAGACCATAAAGAAGGATGCCTCAAAGGTCGACCCATACACGCAGCCGGCGAGGGTACTATATATATATAATTCCGTCCGGCTATTTACACCCGGGGAAACGAAAGCATTAGGGAAGTCTAAAGTTCATCAGTGATCGCGGGCGTGGGTCACCGACGGAGTTGAGTGGTATATACTTCGTGTGACCACTATTGTAATGTATCAAGGCGGATACCTGACCACTACCCCAACCCCGCCTCTAGTTCAATTTTCAAACTTAATGTTTACCGATAAAAGGCGGCTTAGTTTTAAGAACATTTTAAAACGTTTTGCGAAGCGTTTGTGGTCGAATTTTATACTAAATTGAAGCTTATCTTGCGTATAATAACATACTTAGCATATATAGCCTATGTTTGGGAAATTGATCATTTTGTAATTAAAATTAATCTATTTCAAAACTATTCTTAAAATTATGGTGTTAGCATGACAATACTTCATGTTTGGAAAACATAATGGTTTTATTAGCAAGGCAAGGGTTTCTGCATGTATGTATTTTCTGTATTACGTATAATAACATTACCTATAAGATATATATGTTTGGGAAATTGATAATTTTGTAATTAAAAGTAATATTTTTAGGGAATTTTTTAATTGTAAAAATACTCTTAATAAAATTATCGTGTTATCATGACAACTACTTTCAATACTTCATGCTTGGAAAATATAATGGTTTTGTCAGCAAGGCGAGGGTTTCCGGATGTATGTATTTACTAGTATGTTGTTCTAATTTGTAATTTGAATCTCAAGAAAGGTGATACAGAAAGACGTAAAGCGGCAAAACCCGAAAAATTAGGAGGCGGTCGAGCAATGGCAATGGCAATGTAATAATAATAATAATAATTAGTAATAATAATAATAATTAGCTTGTTTCCAATCTGGTCCTGTTAAGTTCTAGAAATATATTACATCACGTGATTACAATACTCATGCAGTTAACATTCTTTAGAAACGTAGGATGTGTTTTATTCCATAGCATAGCTCGGCTGTCTTTAAAACTATTCTTCACGAATTCTATTTTAAGCTATGGAAAATGTTAAATCAGTATGGCATGATTTCGAGGATTATATTTGGATCGAACACATTTTCTTGTAGGAAATTTTAGTCTCATATTTGGGGCGGCACTATAATTACTCTCTACTACAGTAGCACGATTTCCAAGCTGGCTTTGAGCTAAAGTAACTAGTTCAAGTTGGCAAAACAGTAACTTACTGTAATAGCAAAAATTAGTGCAGTGTCCATATTTTCGAGTCTTAAAAACTCAAAATTGGCTAGGAAAACCATATTACTCGTTTAAATGTCTTTTACATTCTTTTTGCCAAATTTTTCGCTGTTTAGCTAAAATTAGGGATGCTTGTTGGTAAAATCAGAAATGTTTGTTGGCAACTCTATCATCAAACAAATTTTTGGCACATTTTCAGGTGTTGGCCGTCCGTCAACTTACCTGATTAGAGAATGACGAGACTCATTATACATGTGTCCAACTTGCGTCTTTGTTACATTACGAAATATCACAGGTGTATTGACCAGTATTTGAAACAATTCTGGGTCTTCTTCGTAAAGGAGATTTGCTGCATGGAAAGCATCTACCCATAAATTGGCGCCACCTTCACCTTCCGTTTGCTCAATACAATGAAACATTGCAACCTAAACATTTAATAAATACAATAAAGACATGAAGTCCACCTCTCACGTAAGGCCTTCTCTCGCAGTATATTTCTCTAAAATGCCCCATCTTTTTATAATTCTCACAATAACTCTGTAACAGTCATCTCGTGAAATAAGCCTTCTGCTTACTATCCCTTAAAAAATGTTCTCTCTTTTATAATCCTATTCTCAAAGACTCGCCTTCTCTTATAATCCGTTTCTGAAATAAGCAGAATTTTAGACTTTACACTTCCACTTTCAACGAATTCTCTACATTCTGGAAAATTTCTCGCCAAAATTTTTAGGGTACATTTTATGAACAATAGGGTACAATAGGGTATATTTTATGAACATTTTGGACATTAGTTTAAAAAAAATAACATCTAATTTTTATGGACTTTAAAGGTGCCCTACAGTCCTATCTGCGCATGTGCACAAAGGAGCATGTTACAAACAGTTTAACTATGTTTTGGGTTCTTGCAAAGCCTGATTGTTTTTTCTTGATCATTTATTATACTCTAGAAGCTTGAAAATATAAATAGTTGTCGAATAAAGCTCAATATTTTGGACACAAAAATGTAAACAAAGGCTTTGTTTACATACGGACTGTAGGGCACCTTTAATATGTTTACATTTCTTATCATTATTTGCCAGTATTCAACACATTATTTATCAAGTCATCAAAACGACTTACCGCAGGTACAGCTTGGTTGAATGAAAAATCAGAGTGCATGGGTAGATTAGAATCAGAATAACCAATTTCATGTGTGGAATGTTCACTGAATGCCCTTATTTCAAAAATTGATCTAAAGAAAATATTTTTGATTTCAGTAAATTTTATAAGTGCCTTTGAAATTGAGCTGCAGATGATTTTACTCGACAATGTTAGAACTCTCCCGCCGAAGCAAATGAGTTCGCCGCCTACCTCATTATCTGACGTTAAAAGGGTGATAATTTCATCAAATATATAGAACTAATATTATGAGGAAAAAAGCAGAGGCAACGTATCATGCTAATAAACCTACATCTTAATGTTAGGTTAAAGACAATACAGTACATTAAAAATTTGCATAGCATGACCTGTTGCTATGGCTGGCTTCGCCGCTGGAAAAAGTGTGCGTGCATGAGTACACTATATACACAATCTATTTAAATAAACTCTGTGTATTTCGAATCAATTTCGATTTTGTAAATATACTGCTGAAGAAGATCGATGGTACTTCCCTGTGCACAGGGAAAAAATGTAACATTAATGGTTTTTACTAATTTACCATATGGAAGATCTATAATAACCAAAAATGAAAAGAGTTTTTACATTCAAAAACCCATCAATGGAAATTTATTTTTTCCCTGTATCAGATTATACAGCCGAATGAAAACACAACACGACTGTGCTGTACAATCAGGGCCGTAGCTACTGGGCGCGTGTGTGGGGTATAATACTCCCTCCCGCAATATATATTCATGAGCAATTTTAGGTAAATTTCTAGGTGACATAAGGTGGTTCAATAGTTTTCAAAACTTCAGGTTTATAATAGTTTGACAGTCGTAGACGTCGTATTTTTAGGTTTTGTATGTAGCAGATATCACAATATTCATTAATTTTGATGTTTCTTTTTGGTAACACATTGCTCGTTGCTATGGCAACACATGCACGAGTACGAAATTCACTCTAAAATAGCTTATTGCTTTGTGTATTCGGAAAAGAGGCACGGTAACTCCCAATTTTTTTTTCGTGGACTATGTTAATTAATTTTGGCAGTACAGAATTGTTTTACTTTTGGTTTATTGAAAGACTTTTGCAGTACAATACTGTGTGCAAAATTTCAACATAGGTCACCGCACGAAATACTAGGGACCTTAAGCATGTACGACGGCAACGCGACGACGACAGGCAAAACAAACTTCTTCAAATAAATTATTGCGATGAAGAGTTGTTGTGTATTATCCACTGCATGTATATATGAATTGAGTTCAGTTTGAAGAAATTAAAACAAAGGCTTTATGGTTAAAAACGCTTCTGCTGAGCAAATTTGTAGTTTCACTTGTCGCATCTTGACATGTTTGCGTTGTACATAAGACGTGAAAATCCCCGGTTTGCTGTTGTAAAAAGACCTAACACAACGGTATAAATTAAGTGTTAGTCATTGGAAGATCATAGAGGCGTTTGTGTCAGCGCGCGGGGGTGCTTGGGGAGGACGAGGCTAGCGTTAGCAGCGCCTGGGGAAAAAATGCAAATATTCACAGACAGTTATACGATATCAGCACGAGGAATCTGGTTTCTTAACTTTCATGGTTTTATGGAGGACTTGGAGCAATCGCTTCAAGAATTGTCATTTGAAGGTAATTTTTAATTGTTGAATTCTTTCATGTTCCTTCACGCTTTTGAACATGTCCGTGAAAGTTTATTACTAGGAGTTACTATCGCAAGGAAAATGCTGCCTCACCCCCCGAAGGGATCAAAGGCAGCATGCACAATTTGCTGAATAAGGGGCTGTTTATATGATCCTGCTTTGCCAGGACAAGATGTGTGAAGCTGGATTATTTTTGATGTATTGAAATAAGTTATGGTGCACAATGGCCTATTGCATTTTTAACCCCCCCCCCCCCCCCCC